ATCTTAGAAACACACTTTATCTTTTTATTGCTATTTATTTCATTATCTTTTTTTTACTTCTCTGTATTCTTTAAACGAACAATTTCTAAACTAAAAAAAACCCAAGTTAAGACCATTTTGGATTCCTGAACCTGATGCTAAAAAAAAGTACAAATGATAGATTTCTCTCTAACTTCTTTTTTACACACTTTTAAGTACTTTTTTTTTAATTATTTTTAACTTAACACTACATAACATTTTCTATAGCTTTTTTTAATCTTTTATACTTTGAAATCTTAGTATTCATTCTTCTTCTGTCTCTATAATGGATAAATCTGCATCAGTATCTGAAATCAAATATTAACTATCTGTGATAAAAACTTCCAAAGTAATCTAACAACTCTGTAGAGTGAGCTTTAAATAAAATAATAAATAGAATACTTTATAAATTTTTTATTTATAATTATATTATTATTTACTCTATATTTATAAATAAACAGGGACTGAGCAGGCTGATATTTATTTGATTTAAATTGTTTATTTAATTTAAATAAATTTTGATGATAAATATAAGAGCTCAAAGTAATCAAAGCTTCAACCTTTAATTTATTTTAAACAAAATTTAAAAGTCTTCATAATATCATAAGAAGAAACCAGAATATTGGTTTACATGTTTAATATATAAATTCAATTTAGAAGTATTCATAATATTAATAAAAGAACAAGGATAGTTATTATAATTGTTTTTCTTTTTCTTTTAATTTATCTAGTTTTTGTTGGCTTTTTTTTTTCTTTTTTTATTATCCTCGTTTATATTTCATTTGCTTTTCTTTCTTTTTTGTTGTTTAGAACTTTTTGTTTTTTATGTGTCACTCCATTGACTATTTTGTATCTATATAAGTGACACATAACCAATTTCTGTAAATTTACGATGAAAATTTGTAAATTTTTATTAATATGGTTAAATAAAATTTTAAAAAATTTAACATACACACAATTTAAAATAGTAGCAACGTATCTTTAATCTTCTTTAAAGAGAGATTACTAAGGTTTATCGGTCAAATGTTGAAACCAAATTTTGTTCTATTTGCGGTAATCCCACACAATAATTAATATGAATTCGTTACATAATACAAATTAAGGTTTTAAAAACTTTTAATTTGTTTTAAATTATAAGGTTTTTATTCTGCATAGAAATGCTGCTTCAGTTCATCTAAAGTCACACTTGGAAGCTTTCAAAGTGTATGAGGACCTTCCCCAATTTTATTATTTTTTTCAAAATATTTTTACTTATTTATTATTATCCCCTCCATAACAAGTCACTTGGGAGTAAATAATACTAAGTATATGGTATAGACTCCAACTTTAACTCTGTAGTCCTAAATTTATAACTTTATTAGACACTGGCAATTAGCTTATTTTTATAACTTGTCCCACAGTAGCTTATAACTTTAATTACTTAAAATTTTTTGCCGAACCTAAAGATTCGGCAAAAAATTGACCTGGCTTCGGCCGAACCGAAGCTTCGGCAAAATTGCCGAAGCTTTGGCACGCCGAAGCCGAAGCTTCGGTACATCCCTACTTATAAATAAGTAAATAAATAGTATGATGCTGTATATGATGTTTTAATGCTTATAATTTTTTTTTTTTTAATTTTTTATTTTAATTCACCTCCTCAAGGCCGAGAAGGCCACTACAGACGAGGAGGCTACTTATTTGTGGCTATAACCCTCTCTCAACTCTATAACTCCGAAACACGAACCTTGACGAACAAGGCCGCTGCGCGGAGAAACGAGTTGAGCACGGTACTACCAGGGACGTGGTGGGGATCGAACTCGAAACCACTCGTTTATGAAGCGAGCGCTCTACCACTACACCACTACCGCATATTTACACATACTATTAAAGATGTCACTTAAATTATATATATATATATATATATATCTTATACTGCTGAGTTAGGTGAGCATGATGATGTCATATTCACCTAATATCAAATAGCCTGCTGCCGGGGGCTTCAGTACATATCTCGACTGACAAATAGCCTGACTCGCCGTGGAGTGCTGCTACATCGACTGAGGGTTTGGTATGGGTCAGCAACCTTTTCATTCATTATTCTTCGTTTTCCCTCATCGTTTTCTAAAAGCGCTCACTTAAATTAGGCTAGCAAAAACAGTGAGCAATTGCGCATATAAATATGCTATAGTAGATATGTATGTATATATATATATATATATATATATATATATGCATACATATATATATATATTAAAAATAAAATATATACATATATATATGTGTGTGTATGTATAAGTATATATATATATATATATATATATATATATATATATATATATATATATATATATATATATATATATATATATATATATATATATATATATATATATATATATATATATATATATATATATATATATATATATATATATATATACATATATATATATATATATATATATATATATATATGTATATATATATATATATATATATATATATATATATATATATATATATATATATATATATATATATATATATATATATGTATATATATATATATATATATATATATATATATGTATATATGTTTATATGTATACATATACAGTGGCATGCAAAAGTTTCCAGCCAGTAACATTTTATAGTCTATAGGATATTAGAATGAAATAGAGAAAATAAAATAATATAGTGAAAAAATGTTATTCATTTTTGTGAAAGTATTTACTATTATAATTTCTGGCCATCTCATATACAATTGAAACAGGGAAGTTCAACAGCAAATTTACAAGTATAAACATGGCTCGGTGAACATAAATCCAAATTCGTGAGAGTTTGATAAAATCTTCAAAAGAAGGAAAGCTTTATTGTGAAATTGCTTCACTATTATACCAAGGTAAATCAACTATGAATGATATTGTTGTAAAATACCATTGTGGATATGGTTTGAATGATTGTTCGTCTAGTAAAAGACCAACAAATTACCTAAAAAATTAGGTGAAAAGGATAAAAGGTAATGTTAGTTGTAGTACTATGACTCGAAGATTACATGATGACTTTTTGTTTGTATTGGTATTAAAAAATCATTAATCAGTAAAAGAATAAAAAGGCTTGGTTACAATTCGCAAAAAATCACCTAAATTGGACAATCAAAAATTGGAAAAAGTAGTATTCTCAGAAGAGTCTAAGTTTAATCTTTTTGGAAGCAATGGTGACATCCATCTTTGATGTCCACTTGGCACAAGAAATGATGTTCGTTACCAAATTTTAACTGTAAAACATGGTAAAGGAAGTGTGATAATTTGGGGAATTTTCTCTGCGCAAGAAGTCAGTCCATTGGTCGAGATCAAAGGAAATATGAATGTTTTTATTTACAAGGACATTTTAGAAAACATTTTGTTATTAAATGCTGAAAGAAAATATGCCACAGTATTGGATATTTTAGAAAGATAATGACCCCAAACACACATCCAAGTTGTCAAAACAGTGATTTTCGGCATCAAATGTGAGAGTTTTAGGATGGCTATCTCAATCATCGGATTTGAATCCATTGAAACACTATTAGGAAATGGTAGATCAAGTTTGAAAGCATTCATTTTCAAATAAAGTCGCATTATTCAAATCATTGAAGGAATAAAGGGACAAAATTCCACCTGCTTGTATTAATCAATTAATTGAGTCAATGGCACAACGTTGTGCAGCTGTTATCACTGCAAAGAGTATGGCTACAAAATATTAGTATAAATGTTTAAATTAATTATATTGTAGAATATATTGAGCAATAATTTTTCTAATAACACAAATTGGTCGGAAACCTTTGGTGCGTGTTAATTTAAGAATTATAGTAATAAATATATTCACAAACATAAATAATAATTTTTCCTTTGTTTTTTATATCTTATCCTAACATCTCATGATGATTAAATATCATTTGACTTTTTTAAAAATAAATTAGAGTAAAATATATCGCTAGCCGGTAACTCTTGCATGCCACTGTATTAGTTTTCACCTATCCAATGCTCCAGGAAACTTTTAATGAGAAATTCAATCTACTTTCAAAATACTTAAATCTAAACCCTTTAACTCTTAAACTTAGTGGTTTTGACAAATAAGGTTGCTGTGCAGAAAAATAAGTTAAGCATGGTATTCTCAATGATGTGGTGGGGATCTAATTCATCTCAGGGATGTGGTGTGGATCAAACTGGAACTTCTCTTTAAATATAAACTTTCATATATGTAAAATGTCACTTCAAAATAATAATAAAAAAGTCTTAATATTCTTAACGTTTGAATTTTTAAGGATTATTGCTTGCATGGTAGTGTTTCAGCTTCTTATGATTGGTGTATTTTTGCTTAAGCAAGTCTGGTATGCTGCTGCTTTCACAGCTCCATTGGTCATCATAACAGTTGTTTTTTGGTTGTTAATGGTTGATAAATTTCAACCATGCAGCGAATTTCTTGTTTTAAGTGAAGCTGTTGATACAAAAGTTGGCGAGCGACGTTTTCTTGAGGTAATTTTTTTTAATATCAGAGATATCAGAATGTCTAGTTTTTGGTGCATATTTTTATTATTTATTTGTGATTTTTATTTATGACTTGGCACATATATTAAATTTTGTACGCATTTTTTTTATTGCCTGTTTTTGTTGCATTTTTATTATTTTATTTTACAAATTCAGTTTTAATTCAGTTTTGTTGTTGTTTAGGCTGTTCGAAGAACATATATTCGAAACTATTCTATACCGGACATTTTTGAGCTAAGTACAGACAATAAACTACCACCTGATGATTGGCTCCCTTTCAATGATGTAAGGGCGTTTTCTGATGAAGAATCGCATGATTTAGGAGAAAATAGTACGTTATTATCGAAATGAAAAATCTATTGTCTTCATTAATTTTTTTATTATCAAACACCAAAACATTATTTTGTGTATATTAAAGCAGACACGTCTTTGTACATTTATTTAAACATAATATTTTCTATTTATTTAAAAGTTTTTACCGTCTTTTTATCTTAATTTTAAAGATATTTATTGTTATAGAGGTTTTTAAATAACCAGACTTTTTAATTTACGATCAAACTAGAAAAATGGGACAAGTGCGCAAAGTTCCGTCGATAAGAAGTATATTGTTTTTAATAATGGTAATGTTTACTAAAGGCCTTCCCGTTGCAAATCTGTATTTTTGACTGCTGGCAGGCAATCTTACATAAAATTTATTTTAGTTCAGTCTTATAAAAAGTTCGATTTTTGAGTAGTTGATTGTTACAACAAATGATTAAAAAGTGCTGTATTCCTGGCACACTCTAGTGGAAATATTTCTTACGAAAAAAAAAGTACACCAGAAACGGATTACATTTTCGAAACCACCGTACCTTGTTCTGTTATGACCTAGATTTTAAAAATATTCTGTCGATATCTAAAATAATAAAAGGGGGTTAAACAAGCTGGTCCAGAATTTTTAGTGTTTAAGATCGATAACTTCCAGAAATGGTGCTTTCATAAAATTTTGTAATAATCCTACTAATGCAAAATAAGAATGTTTTAGAAAAAATTGCGACGATCGGAGATTGGAAACAATATTAAACCTAAAATTTGTGTCCCATGTATGGTTTCATTAGAAAAAAAATTTTTTTTTCATAATATGTTTAACTAAATTAAAATTAATCGACAGATTTAAATTTTCATACAAAAACCTCTTCTCTTTAAAAAGTTATTATTATTTTTAGGTTTTTATTCCCCAATTAACTTCAAAAAATAACTTTAAAAGATCACAACTTTTAAACGGCATATTTTTTTGGAATGATACTTAAAATTTGTCAATAAATTTTGATTCTAATAAATATGAAAAGAAAAAAAGTTCATAAACGTTGTAAGGACGTTACGTTAGGGGCGTGTTCTTAGGGTTTAAATATGATTTGGCCCGATCACTGGGACACAAATAAAAAGAAGATTTTAGTTTTTTGTTGTGGTTTTTAGTGATATTTAACATTACAAGTTAATAATAACTGTTTCATATTTTACAAACTAACTTTTTACAATAAATTATATATATAGTTAATCAGTAAAACTTTCAGAAAAGAAAGTATGACGAGAGTTATATGCAACAAAAAATTTTCAAAGCACAACTAACGATATTACAAACGCAACGTGTAACAAAACACAAATTACAATAATGCATAAAAATCAAAACTCGTTAAAACTAAAAGTGGTTTTTAATTAACCAATTTCAAATATTTTAGCAATAAAGAATGATTTTGAGGGTTATTTAAATTGACGTAATACAAATTAAAACAGTAGTTTGTAAAAGTAAAACATGTAACATTTTATAAACTCGCTTTAGTAAAACATACAGAAGAATATTTCAAAAATTCTATATATAATTTATTGTGAAAAGTTAGTTTGTAAAATATGAAACAGTTATTATTAACTTGTAATGTTAAATATCACTAAAAACTACAACAAAAAACTAAAATCTTCTTTTTATTTGTGTCCCAGTGATCGGGCCAAATCATATTTAAACCCTAAGAACACGCCCCTAACGTAACGTCCTTACAACGTTTATGAACTTTTTTTCTTTTCATATTTATTAGAATCAAAATTTATTGACAAATTTTAAGTATCATTCCAAAAAAATATGCCGTTTAAAAGTTGTGATCTTTTAAAGTTATTTTTTGGAGTTAATTGGGGAATAAAAACCTAAAAATAATAATAACTTTTTAAAGAGAAGAGGTTTTTGTATGAAAATTTAAATCTGTCGATTAATTTTAATTTAGTTAAACATATTATGAAAAAAAAAAATTTTTTTCTAATGAAACCATACATGGGACACAAGGAACCAAATTTTAGGTTTAATATTGTTTCCAATCTCCGATCGTCGCAATTTTTTCTAAAACATTCTTATTTTGCATTAGTAGGATTATTACAAAATTTTATGAAAGCACCATTTCTGGAAGTTATCGATTTTAAACACTAAAAATTCTGGACCAGCTTGTTTAACCCCCTTTTATTATTTTAGATATCGACAGAATATTTTTAAAATCTAGGTCATAACAGAACAAGGTACGGTGGTTTCGAAAATGTAATCCGTTTCTGGTGTACTTTTTTTTTCGTAGGAAATATTTCCACTAGGGTGTGCTGGATACAGAGGAAACTATGGTGCTAAAAATAAAGTAAGAGTTTTTAGGCTTCCCTCCAATGCACAGTGAGTAGGGCTGTACCGGATTTTGGCTTCGGCTCTGGCCGAAATCCGGCCAATTTTACAAATCCGGCAAAAAGTTCGATGGATTTCTGAATTTTGGTCAGATTTATTACAACTTTTTTTGCCCGCGTTTACATGTATATTTAATGTTTTATTTATACTAATCAATATTCTTTGTAATTTTATTTTCTGTAAACTCCATGTCTGTAATGGTAACTTTACTTGGATTTCTTTACAATTTAATTAACTAAGCCTAATTGCAAACAACAACTCAACGAAAAATTCTGAAGAGAAGACACAATATTCTGAAGTGAAGACACACGATAGAGTCTGAAGTGACGACACAGATGTGGTTAAATGTACATTCAATAAAGTTACAGTGCAGAGGTTATCGCTGTAAGATGGTCAATCTGAGCATACTGAGCAGCAGATTGACTTCCAGTAAAACGAGACCAGCTGGTGAAAACGAGACCAGCTGGATAATTCTTCTACATCATTATTACTCTGACAATGTATTGATGATACTTTTCAGTCTACGTCCACTGGTGGCACAGCACATGAACAACAGTTACCAACAGGCATTTACACTCAGCTAAACCAGTATCTGACAGAACTAGAAATAAATAAACACGCTCATCCACTACAGTGGTAGGGTGACAACATGCAACGATTGCAAGCTATGGCGACAGTAGCTCGCATTTATTTGGGTGCCTAACCAACCAGTTCGCCATCAGAACGTTTGTTCAGTATTTGCTGGAGAGGTCCTTAATGATCATCATAGTTCACTCCTGCCACATAATAATAACTTATATTTATGCCAATATTTCTAAAGTATAGTTCGAAACTGACCAATACTTTAAAAAAAATAGCTGAAGCTGAAGTTATTTACTTCACTTTCAAATTGAAAGTTTCAATTGCATATCAATTATTTTGTTATGCTATGATATATTATGTGAAAATGTGTCCTTCTATTTTAATAACAACAATTAAGCTTAACAGAAATCGGTTGTCACTTGGTATTAAAAATAGTCAATTAAAAAATGTACAGGATTTTGGCTCATGTAACTTTGTTTCAAAATCCGGCTTCGGCTGGATTTGTCAGTAGAAATCTGGCTCCGGCCGGATTTAGAAAAAACAAATCCGGTACAGCCCTAGTCAAAAGTGACATTTTTTATCCAAAACCCCTAAAAAATTTTTTTGCTACTTTTTTTTATTACTAATGGTTTTATATATTAAAAAAAAAATATGCCAAATAATCTTAGTTTTAAAAAAACTTTTAATTTTTTAAAATTCCAATTTTTTCCCTTATAAAAAAATTTCGTGGCAAGCAATAAATTTAGCAATAAGAATATTTTTTAATTTTTTTTTTAGTTTATTGCAATAATTTAGTAACACCATCATTTCATCATTACTAGAGGTTAGAATTTTCATCATTACTAGAGGTTAGAATTTTCATTATCACTAGAGGTTAGAATTTTTATCATTACTAGAGGTTAGAATTTTTATCATTACTAGAGGTTAGAATTTTTATTATTGCTAGAGGCTAGAATTTTCATCATTACTAGAAGTTAAAATTTTTATCATTACTAGAGGTTAGAATTTTTATCATTACTAGAGTTTAGAATTTTCATCATTACTAGAGGTTAGAATTTTTATCATTACTAGAGGTTAGAATTTTCATCATTACTAGAGGTTAGAATTTTCATCATTACTAGAGGTAATGATGAAAATACTCTTGGTTGAGTAAAGGCTAGAGATGGCGTCTCGATGATCTCGAGACCAGCCTCGCACCCCTTCTTTATCTAATAGGCTGGCACAGATGTATTTTTAATACATTGTTTCTAGTTTAGGATGTTGAACGCTGGATCTGACTCAATTCATGGGTTTTGCTTTTGTCTCTGTTTTTATGACTAGGCAACTCATTCTATTATCTCCAAATGAGGGTACAGCTCTAAAACTCAGTTTTATGGTTCTGAGGCCGGCTTGTAGTCAGGTTTCCCGAACTCTGTGGTAGCTCTCAGAGAAGCCTATTCCATCAACAGCTGAAAAATATCAGATTACTAACAGTGCCATGTTGCGCATGGATGGTGTCCCTGTTTGTACTTTTGGTGTGCATTGCCAAGGCCACATTGTAGCCCTTTGTTACGGCTCAGGATTTATTAGTGGAAATGAGGCAATTGCTTGGGCTATAAGACAGTGTACTGAGTACTATATATGTTTCGAGTCAAGTTCTTTAACAAATTTAAAAATGAATAAAGTAACAAAAACTATAAAACACAAAAAACCACAGTCATCACCAAGTTCGCTAAACCTATCATTCACCAATATTCGTGATCTTCGAAGTAACTTTTTTTCTGTTGAGTCTTATCTCTTGCAATGTTCACCAGATCGACTTGCTCTTTGTGAGACTAATTTGAGTTCAGCTGTCTCATCTTGTGATCTTAGTGTTGATGGTTATCTTCCTTTAATTCGTAAAGACTCCAATAGTCACATGCTTGGCCTAGGCATTTACATTCGTAAGAATTCACCCATTTGTCGGGAAATTAGGTTTGAATCCACAGACTACTCTTTTATGTGCTTTCGTTTAGCACCACTTCACTCTATCACCTTTCTCTTTGTTCTATATCGCTCTCCCTCATCTCAAGACTGCACTCTTCTTGATGTTATTTCTAATTATATTGACCGAGCCCTCATTCTTTATCCATCAGCCAATATTATTGTTGTCGGTGACTTTAATGTTCATCACTCTGAATGGGTTGGCTCTAGTGTCAGTGATTCTGCAGGGATTAAAGCCCAC